GAATTGGACTGCCACTTAAATTATAAAATAAATCAACTATTTATATTGCTGTTATTAGTTTATCGAGTGCATGTTGAATTATTTTATGAAAATGAAATCATCGTTTACTAAATATCATTGTAAATTACTTTTCTGCCTATTTACGTAGTTTCTTTTGACATTATACTTCAATAGTATTTCCTATATCAATAATAAGCATTCAGTGAAATAAATAAATTCAAATCGTAATGTTAGTGAACATATAAGAATTATAAATAGTGTGATTTCTTTGCATTTCTTGTTTTTGTATGGTTTATATGTCTTTAACAATGGAGTAAAAGGAGTTTTACTTGTTATACTTCGACTACGCTACATGATTACAGCTAAGAAATAGATTTTATATTCTTCTCTTCTTGATTCTTTCATTTTTGCTTCAACATAGCCAAACAGCCTGATAACTTCATGTTTCGAAGAAAAATCATATTGTTTTTGTTTTTTAATAGATACGTTACAATAAATCGATCTAGAGAAAACACAATGACGAATAACCAAAATGCACTACAGGATGATTCACCTATTTTTACTAGTTTCCTTCAGTTTACTATACTTCGACTAAACTTGAGAAGTTATTTATTTTTATACGGTTAGATAGAGCATTCATCTCTCTATTGAACTGTATATTTTTTATGTGATCTAGCCCTCATCTTCACCGAGAATTTAGTGAAGTTTTAAAAGCCCTGGAAAATTTTCTTTGCACGTGATATTTAGCTGTAACGGAAATATTTCATTGAAAACAAATCTGATTGTCGCGAATGTGGTTTCAGATTGAAGAGATCCCTGGAAGTTATGTTTGAATAAAGCTTTAAATAAAAACGTCCTGTATTCAAGGAGAATGCTTAATTTTAATTTTTTAATTTTGAGTCGTCTAGCACTTTTCATTACAACAATGAAAAACAGGTTTTTATGGCTGTTCGTATCATGGAGAATTTCTGTAAAAGCCCTCAGCTAAACCAGACTCAAATTAGATGATTCGATAGAGAAATTAACGCTCTATCCAGGTACATATTAACGAGTAAAAGATTTAGATGCTTAGACAACTAAAATTTCATCGCAGAAAAACAGAGATGATTCTATGAAAAAAGTTCTCGAGAAAATGTCTCAGAAAATCATCAAGTTTATTATCAAGTTAAAGGATAAGTCTAATAAAAAATATATAGTCTGATAGAGAAACGAATGTTCTATTCATCTATAGAGAAATAAAAAAAAATTCAGTAATCAAGTAGGTAACAGTGACAGGGAAATGAATTGAGAAATGACCTCAAAATTGCTAAGTACAAAAAATTGTTTTGAGGGCTTTTAAAACTTCACTAAATTCTTAGTCAAGATGAGAGTTAAATCAGATAAAAGATACACAGTTTGATAGAGAAATGAATGCTCTATGTAACCGTACAAAAATAAATAACTTTTCAAGTTTAGCCAAAGTACAGTGGGTGAAGGTGTGGGTGTGGGTATTCATTGATAGGAACACATATCCACACCCACACCCATACCACACCACACCCTTCACTTGACTAATTCGAAGAACTTGTAACACATGATGCCCATTAAGTATGAATAAAAAAAATATTCTGTTGCTTGAAAAGACGGAAAAAAGGAAGAGAAAACATTTTGAGTGTTGACAACACTTGCAACAAAACGAAGACGAAAAAAAAACATGTTTTTTTCTCTTTATGCGTCATTTGCAATCAACAATATATCGCTTGTCTTAAACTAACGACACCCGCATACAGTTATTTTGTGTTTGAATTCCAGAATGTGTAAATGCTTCAGTAGAAATCTAACTTGATTAGACAATTCAAGAAACAAGCCAGTCTTGTTCTGATATATGTGCGTAGTCAACAACAGATATAAATGCTGTTGGCTTTTTTGCAGTCTATAGACAAAACAAACGCTTATTATATAGATGTACTGTTTATAAATTTCAGAACACATTATTTTTTTTGCTATGTATACTATTGAAAATAAAAGTTAGTAAAATGATTCATGATAAAGAATGTTAAGGATAGAGCAGCTAAAAGCTGCAGTGAAAACTAACATCTTTGGCCGATATCTCTATCGAAAAGTTTGTAATTTAAAAACATTGACAATCGCATGAGTGAAGCTCATCTTTATATGTTAACTATATATCTCACTACACTCTAGTGAACACTGTCCACTGTGTTTTATTTTATTGAAAAAACGCTCCTTTTCATACCACTATTGGTTTGGCAACGCTTTTTAAGAAGCGGATCGTCTACATCTATCACTTTTATGAAGGTTGCCTGGAGTTTGTATCGAATTGAAAAACTTTTTTACATTTGTTCAATGCTATTGAAACGAGCTACCATGCTGCATGTCGACTTCAAAATCGAAAAAGATTGTGTCGGTTGCATTCAACTAAGGGATTCTTTTATTAGTTTCATGAGAAGCCAGATTCACTTCATGATAATCTATTCTAGTTTTTCTGTAAGATGATATATTTGTTTTGTAAGCTGATAATTAGTTTTCAGATGTGGAAAATTAATCGACGAGTTCGCTTCGAGAACGCAGTGTGAAATATCAAGTATAGCACAGTTACTGGTCATAAGATAATACAAGATCCAATACAATCATTCAACTACAAAAAAAAAAGTGTCAAAAAGTGACCGCAAGTGGAATTTCAAACACAAATTGATTAATCATCATGATCGATAGTCTAAGTTTCGCCGATAATAATGATTTCGCAACGGTTATATTCTACGAGGTCTCAACAGAGAGCAAGACCAGTACAGACAAACAAATACAACTATTAAATGAAATTAGTAATCAAATTCTGTTTTTTGTCGATCAAGAACTTTGTCATGATTATATTCGATCAGTAGAACGAAAGAAAAAATTGTTTCTCGTTACATCAGCTCATGATAGTCTGGACATTCTCAATCTTATACATAATCTAAGACAGATTGATTCTATATTTATTTATTGCCCAACAGAATCAGAACGAGAACTTAACCAAGATGTTTTCGAAAATGAATACTCGAGAATTATCGATTTATTTATGAGGTTCAAGTATTTGGCCGAATCAATCAGAGAAAATCTTGAACTGTTACGAAAAGAAACGGAAGTACTTTCCTATTATAGTAAGCATCAATAGTCAATATGTGACTTGTCAAGAGAGTCTGCTCTCTTTTTATGGTTATTCCTATTCAAAGATATAATTCTGGAATTACCACATGATGAACAAGTAAAACATGAAATACTCAATAAATGTAGACAACAGGGTGGGTGGGTGCGGAGGCGAGTGTGGGTGAAGGTGTGGGTGTGGATGTGGATCTGGGTGTGTGAAAGTGGATATGAACGAAGGAAACAGTAACACTCACACCCACCCACCCACAGACCCACATCCACACACACTCACCCACCCACACACCCACCCAGACCCTGTACATGTTGGTGCAAGCAGACCAAAAGATAGAAACACAACACTAAGAAAAACACAAATTTATGTGACCGTTATATAAGAGTGTATGAAAGATATTCGTATGTTTTCCGGCAAATCCTGTTAGCCAAAGGCTGATGATAGACTCTTTCTCTGAGTATTATCATCTAGTATATGTGGTTCAAATATGAGATCAAACTAGGGATCTATAAAGAAAAAATGTTGAAAAAAAGCCCGTGTTAGGTTATTTTTGGCCCTCCCTGTATCATAAAATGAGGAGAATTTGACTAGCTCGATTGAGTGAGTTCGGCTGTCGCTTATATGGACTGAGTATTATATTAAAAAGCTTTTAGAGTATCTTGAAGTATTTCGAAGTAATTAAGGATTGGTTAAATGCAGGTTATAGTAGGCTAAAGTAGTTGAAAGTAGATTAAAGTAATTAGTTCAAAGTACGTAGAAGTAGCGCAGAGTTAATTCAAGTACAAAACTACGCCGTTTCCCCCTTTATATTCCTACAAAATTTCGTGACTAAAAACATTATTGTTGAAAAATGGCGAAATATATAATGAATGGGTATCGCATTGGTCGTTGGTATTTTTTACCTAAGGATGTCTTCATATCTAACTTAGGGCTACACACAGGAAAAATTTCATTGAAATCCGTGATATCAATTGAGCACATTGTTCGTATTCGGATCGTCTCTTTCGTTCAATGACTCCTAGAGAGTTTTTAACTTACTTCTTGCTTTCTAAAAACTAGAAATTCTTTCGGAATTTCTCAGAGAATCACTAATGATTCTTTGGACATTATTTTCGTGGCTCCGTAAGAATTTCTCTGAGATTTCGTATTTCTCAGACGACTCATCGGCGGCTCTGAAGAGGAGAGTCGACTGGGACAGCATTGACTACTCATTGAAAATATCTATCCAAATATTTGTAACTAATACAAAGTCCAAAATATAAATGCTTTATTAAATTTTTATTCAGCACAACCATGTCTACAATGTAGTTCCAAACAAAATGATGACATATGTGAGCTATGATATAGTATAATTATAAAACAGGATAGATAACATTGCAATCTTTTATAAAGGATGCAGGAACAAACCACTTTATTTCATATTTACTGTACACTTTGTTAGAACAATATACTGTAAATCAACGCTTTTGAAAAAAAAAAGAACTGTTAACTCTTTATTCATATTGTGTTTTCCAAGAGTTAGATGATGTTGTTCATCAGCTATTTATTCTATTTCATTCTATTATATAAAATAACTGCGTCTCCTCAAATTAATCTTCATCTCACCGATTGGATAAATGCCAATGAAAGTCATATTGTTCTACAACATGATTGTCTTCATCTTGCGGCTTGGATTGATGAAGAAAATGATCCTTATCAGATCATTTCTTATTGTATGAGTGAATGCCCATCAAAATGGTATATTCAAAAAAATAATCAAGATCAAAATTTTGCTTTTGCTGAACTCTACAAATTAAATATTACTAGTGAACAATTATATCTTTGGTCGGCACCAATGGATGTTATTGAACGTTATCAATTTTATTTAAATCTATTGTTAACTTCAAATTCATTATCATCATTAATGGCAGCACATATATTCTATAATTGTACATCACCCAGATTTGGTCCATTGTGTCAATATTCATTAGATGCTTACAAGTCTCATCATTTAACGTTAAACGAGATTATTCATGAATTTTATTTACACGAATATGAACCAATAACATTGACATGTTACACTCATTTACAATGCGATCGTGGTTCAATATATGCATGTCTTGATTGGAGTGAAATATGTGACGGAATCATTGATTGTCGAAATGGAGTTGATGAAGAACCTTGTTGGCAAATGGAAATAAATGAATGTGAAGATAATGAAGATCGATGTCGAAATGGACAATGCATACCTACGCCATTCTTTCATGATGATCCTAATGTTTTTGAATGTCTTGATCAATCAGACGAAAGGTTGTTGTCTCAGCAACGATTATCTATAACTATGAATGATGAGCCTACATTTACAAAGGAAGATGTTGCATGTTCTATACGTCAGTTGAATTCCAACATGAAGCTAACAAGTTCATGTGTGTTGCAACGCACCGATTTACTACAGCAGTTCATGTTCTCTGAGAAGCCAAGCATCATATCGAATGATTGTTGGTTAGCTATTAAATGCCACTTGGATATTTCACACACAGTATCAGATCTAAAATGTCGTGATGTTTTTTCTTTCAAAAAAATATGGAAAGAAATAATTAACGAGACATGTCCCGATATGCTGTATGTGCCAGCTGGTTCCGTTGCTTTTGGACATATGTACTTTCTATATACAAAAGAGGGCATATTAAGATCTAATGCGAGAGTACTACCACCAGAATATGTCTGCTACAATGATAGACTTTGCGGTGGATTCTATTCGAACCGAACATTATTGTCAATCGGTAATAATACATGCCGCCGTCCTACAGATTTTCCATTAACTTTTAAGTCGCTCGGTCTCAGCAGAGGCTACTGGCGCAGTATATATGTCTTACCTATATATGAACAGCTTCATCAATGCAACACAGTTGCGCATAGTGGTTCTACAAGTTGTAACAGTTTAATCGGGTACAGATGCCTCAATTCCTCAAAATGTATTTCCAAGCATCGCCTTTGTGACGGTATGAACGATTGCGATTATAAAGATGACGAACAATGTTCTTCGGTTAATGATTCTTGTTCGAAATATGGATCAAAAAATCATTTCAAATGTACTACGAGAAATCTTTGTATTCCTCCGACATTGATTGAAAATGGTCGGTGCGATTGCGGATATAATGACTATAATCTCTGTGATGACGAAGGACTAAATCTTCATTATCCCAAAAAACATATATCATTTCCAACAATTTGTGATGGTTTTACAGAACTAATACCTGTTACTATCGATGAACGAAATGAAACCGACGAAACTGAATGTGAACATTGGCAGTGTAATAACACTTACACTCGATGTGACGGATTTTGGAATTGTTTCAATGGAGCAGATGAAGTAGATTGTGATCAATCACCAATATTGAAATGTCCGCTTCATCATCACATCTGTGTCTCACCTGAAACATATCAATTCATGTGTTTGCCTCTTACAAAAGCCAATGACGGTAATATTGATTGCTTTGGTGCTACTGATGAACCACAACTATGTCGATCAAATACTTATGAACTCAGCAATGTTAACATTTATTGCACCATTGGTGAACATGAATATTGTACTTCTTATATATTTGTATGCTTCGATAGAACATGCAATTATACAGATTATGATAAAATTTGTGACAACACTCTGAACAACATTGACTCTCATGTTATATGTAATGACGAATATACAACTGTTCGTTCTGATATTGCAAATTATTTTTGTGGACGTCTAATAGATTTGAGTAGGCAATCCATTGTAGCATATTTTTCATTTAATAGGATTAACCATTCAATCGAACAAACAATGAAACAAAACACAAAAATAATAAGTTCAAATTCAAATTCATATATCACTCGGCAAGTTGCTCTTCAACATCAACAACGTTGTCATCGTGGTCTTGTTCTTACAGTTTGGCTAGATTATAAAAGAAACTTAACGACTAAAACATGTCTTTGTCCACCTAGTTTTTATGGAGATATGTGCCAATATCAAAATCAACGAATTAGTCTCACTTTACAATTTCAAGCATACTCTGATTCTCGACAAATTCTATTTGCTGTCATTGTCTCACTCATTGATGATAGTGATGAACGAATCATTCATTCACACCAACAATTTAGTTACTTGTATGTACGAGATTGTAAAATTAAATTCAACATGTATTTACTATACTTAACTCGACCAAAAGATGAAAAAAAACATTATTCAATACATATTGATATATATGAAAAAGTATCACTCGCATATCGAGGAAGTTTTTTAATACCACTTAAATTTCCTTTTTTACCTGTACATCGTGTCGCTGTACAACTCAACATTCCCCATACAACTAATATTGTGGAACGTTGTTCAAATCAACAATGTGTTCATGGTCAATGCATTAAATATTCAAACAATCCAAAAGGTATTACTTTTTGTCATTGTTATCGAGGATGGTCTGGACGATATTGTACTATCCCTCATAACTGCACATGTTTGCTTGACTCATTATGTATTGGTATCTTAGCGAACAACAGATCTTTGTGTGTTTGTCCTTTGAATAAGTGGGGTTCTCAATGTCTATTTCAAAATACAATATGTCAATCTAATCAAAATACCATATGTTACAATGGTGGTCAATGTATACCTACTGATGAGCATATAGTATCGAACAAGAAATTTAAATGTATCTGTAAAAAAGGTTTCACTGGAGACAGATGTGAAATAGCTGATAATAAGATCATTTTATCATTTTATCAAGATATTATTTTACCAGACTCGTTACTTGTTCATTTTATTCAGGTAATTGATGGTGCTTCACCGACAAATGGCAGTACTTTCAAAAAGATTCCTATCAATCAAAACACAGTGATAATTAATTGGTCATATCCATTCCATATTGCTTTTATCCAGCTTTTCAATAAATATTACTATTTAATTATTGTTCAAAAGAAATACCATCAATCGGCAACTATAGTTCGAGAAATTCAACCATCAGATCGTTGTCCACATTTAAATGAAGTATTAAATGAGACAATTGTTAAATTTCATCCTCTTCGTCGTATTAAATATTATCATTTACCATGTCAAAAACATTCATCACTATTGTCTTGTTTTTATGATGATAATCATTTTTGTTTATGTAACTATTATGGACAGCAACGGATAGCTAATTGTTTTGAATTTAATTCTACAAAGAAATTCGATTGTCTTGGTCAAAGTACTTGTGAAAATGGAGCACAATGTTTACAAGATAGATCAACATGTCCACAAACATCGACATGTATTTGTCCGGCATGTTTTTATGGAGCACGCTGTCAATTTAGTTCCATTGGATTTGGTCTTTCACTTGATGCAATTTTAGGTTATCATATTCAACCACATATTATTATCAGGCATCAAACTTTTGTTGTACAATTAAGCCTCGTATTAACAATTATTATGACTGTGACAGGGTTGATCAATAGTGCTCTGTTGATAATTGCAATTAATAACAAGGAATCATGTAAAATTGGTTGTGGTATTTATCTAATAAGTACAGCGATTACTACTTTATTTACAATGATTATGTTTGCATTGAAATTTTCGATACTTATCATTGCACAAATGACATATATTACGAATCGTGTATTCCTACAATTACAATGTTCTTCAATAGATTTTTTGCTTCAAATCGGTATTAATATGAATCAATGGTTGTCAGCATGTATAGCTATAGAACGAATAGTTACTGCAATAAAAGGACTCGGTTTTGACAGGAAGAAGAGTAAACAAATGACTAAATATATTATTTTTATTCTTCTAATTTTGAATATTAGTACAACTATTCATGATCTTATTCATCGACGTTTGATAAAAGATGATGATGATGATGATAGCGAGAAAAGAATTTGGTGTGTTGTTACTTATTCATCTAGTCTTCAAACGTTTAATGCAGCGATGAATATATTTCATTTTTTCACTCCATTTACTATTAATTTGATTTCGGGTCCGATCATTATTGTATTGACTGCTCGACAGCGAAGAGCTGTTCACCCTCATGAAAGTTATCGAAAAATATTACATAAGCAATTGCAAACATACAGTCACTTACTAATTAGTCCAATTGTTTTGGTCATTTTAGCTATGCCACGTTTGATCATTTCTTTAATTTCACGTTGTATGAAGTCAATTAATGATCCATGGTTATTTTTGATTGGATATTTTATTTCATTCATGCCACCTATGCTTACTTTCGTTGTGTATGTCCTTCCATCAACAATATACAAACAAGAATTTTGGAAAGCTTATAAACGATATAAAAACGCAATAAAAACACGATTACATATCACTTCATAGACATTTGGAAAAAACCAAAGAGACTTCTTCACATTTCTTTTCAGTAATGAACAAAAAAATAAATGTTTGTTGTACTTAGTTTTGTGGGAGCAAATTAATATAGGCGGTGTAGGTATCAGATGCATATTCGCATCCGCACCCACTCAAAGATTATAATAAACTATTAAAAAGATGTTTTCAGATTGATTTATTCATTTGACTTGCGTCAAAAACCTATGATGTCGTTACAGGAAATATAGAGAAACATGGAAAAGAAATTCAAGAATATCATTTTAACGTTAGAAAGCATACGAGTTTAAGTGATGTTTAAGTTTTGAAACAAAAAAAGAACAAGATTTATGGGTCGGTCTATGTGTAAACTGCCACAACTGATTATACAAAATTCCTAATTATTTCTATTACTTCTCTTAATTTGAAACCTCGTTCCGGTAGCCATTATTAATATATAATAATTATAATAGGTAGCATTAAGGATAAATGAATTAATGCATGAATGAAATGCAAAGAAACACGCGAATGAACGAAATTCTTTTCAGTGTTTCTAATTGAAAATTGTTTAAAGCACTGAGAATTCAATAATTTATTTTATTTTAATTTCTCTTGCTTTTAATTTAAAATTAACTTTCAGACAAAAAGAAAATGCAGCATGGAAAATCCAAAAAATACGATTTACTCAAAATTATTCCATACATTTGTTAATCAATCATATTATTAAATAGAAAGAATTTTCTCATCTATGAATGAAGTATCATTGTTATATATTTCAAATGAATAACATAATGTTGAAGAAATAATTCGAGTCTTGTTTTTTTCTTCAAAGATTTTGTGTCAAAATTAATTTCAAGTCTCTTTATATAGAGAATTCGGTTGCGGATGTGAATGTAGGGTAGGTGTGGGTGGTACGAGTGCGCTGATGGATGTTCTCGTCATCCACATCTACATTCACCCCACGCCTTGCTTTTATCTTGGTCGTGTATGCTTGGACTTTCATTTCATAGTCATCAATTTTTCCTGAATGAAAAACTTTAGATTTGTCTCTCTTTCTAATGACTGTTTGTGTATCTTCAAATGTATTTCTTAATTTATTGATTTCTTTTAATTGAATAGATGGAGGGTGTTTATCATGGCAATCGGTAAGGATCTTTTCCAGCGAGTCTGTGAAGGTTTGTTACAGTTGTTGGATAGGTAGTACCCATCTATGGTTCAACAAAAATTTTGTTTATTTTCTTTACAAACAACTCGATCTCATTTTTCATTCGTATATGAGCGAGATGAGGGTTGTTCGGTATGTATTTAGGGCCTAGCTTTGGGATGACCTTCTCTCTCCAGTTTAAATTTATGTTGGATTGATTTATTACGCCTGGAGCACGAAATCCTTCCGTAATACTGGATTCAAATCTCTTGCTTCTTATATTACGACGTGTGTCTCTTTGACGCCACGTTCGGCTAAAAAATGAACTCCTCATTCAGTTTCTAATAAAGCTCTTTTAATTGCTATTTTAATATATTTTGTAAATAGTTCTGAACCTTTGAGATTGACCACGTTGTCTTTTCTTTGTGGTAATGGTCTTTGAGTAAAAACTTCATCATCATTACCTAAAGGTTCTTCATCATCAATATCAGTAATAACTTGTGTTTGTAGTATTTCGTCTCTCTCTTCTAGAAAATCTTCAAGAAGTTTCTGTAATCGTTCTTCTTGAAATTTAAATTCTTCTTTTGCAATTTTCAGATAGAGTTCTACTGCTTTAAGACGAAATTCTCTTCACAAGTTATATATGCTTTCTTTATTCTCCTGAGTCTATTCACTTAAAAGTGAAGATTCACCTAGGGGAAGATTAAAATCATACTGTGGCAAGATTTTCGGTGTTATATTATGTGGGTGTGGTTGAAGAGTACTTCCACACCCACATCCCTACTTATACGCTGAAATAGAGGACATCAGTTGGAAAGGTTCTCTCGTTAGGAACGAATAGAATATCTTCGTTATGAAAACTATTATCAGAATGATTCTAATTTGTCTATCGTTCAATCTATACGAGACATAGATAATTACTTAAAGCATGGATATTAAAGAAACATTTTCATGTTTCTTCTTTAAATTAGGATTTGAACTAGTCGTTTCGAAAATGAAGACGTCATCTATTTGCTGCAAATATGACAACGAAAGATGTTCACTCATCTGCTGATTACAGTCATACAAGATAGATTATATTTTAAAAAAACTGTTAGCTCAATCTCTGCTGGATTAAGATGTTAAACACGGTATAGCTGTTCTTGGTATTCACCAGAAGCTTGTATTAATCTATCTGTTTTGCGTCACATTTATAGCCTATCCTTTTAATTATTGTTTCAAAACTGGAGTGAGGACGTAATTCATTAACATCGATAAAGCGTTCTTGATATGTGTTGTTTGCTCGTGTATCAAGAGCATCTTGCACAGCGGATAGCAGGGTCTCCAAGCGTTTGTCACTATCTGTAAAGGGTCCCAGAGTGTCTGTCACAGTCTGTGTGGAGTGGAGGAGAGAGGAATGGATTTGAATTTCTATCCTATATACTTCAACACTCCTTGTTTTGATCGTGTTTCACAAAACAAAACAAAAAAGATATGACCTAGTGTATATTCGATCAAAAGTTTCTTTTCCTCTGAGTTATCATTCAAACAATAACACGTACAAAAACAAAACACAAAAATAAGTTAATATTTCATGCTTTTCGAGAAAATATATTAAAAAAAATATCTTCAAGAATTTTCAGGTGTTGTAGCAGATATTGGTAATATGATTGGGCTTCTTTTTAGTTTTACATTTGGTTGTTGCCGTTGTAACATTTCAGCAATAGCATGATGAAAACCTGATTGATTGAATAAAAATGCACTAACATGTCCATGAGGAATATATCGTATATGAACACCTGGCCATACATCATTCATATGTGGAATACCATCACGTAGCACATATCCATCATATGTACAAGCAATGAACATAGCATTAGATATATTTGACTGAATTGGTCGTGAATAATTATGCAGCGATGTAAATTCATCCATAAGGAGACGCATCATATCTTTAACAGGATCGAGAATAGTCATATTTGAATCTGTTGGTCTATTTCGTTCACGTAAATAATCATAAAATGTTTGATATGCTTTATTTTCATAGAATTGTTGTTTTAAAAGAGGCCATGGAATAGTACGTGAAAGTACACCATCGCAAAATACTGTTGAACTTGATGACCAAGAAGCGCAGGATAAAAGAGAAAGTGGACCAGGCCAACTAAAAAATAAATTTGCAAATTGGGTCTCGAGTCGAGAAGATTATAGACAAAATAATGTAAGAAAGTAAACATGATTAGTAGGTTTTGAGAGACAAGATCTTTAGAGAAACGAAACCCTAATTTTCAGTACCTACAACACACGAAAATACTCTGCGACCTTTTTTTGCTGACATACAGCAATCCTACAAGAATATGAGTTTGGGCAGCCTCTTAACAGATTTATGTCCTCAAGAGTGGATGAATGAAAAAATGAAAGAAATATTCTCAATTGGTAACAATTTTTAGATGAAACTAGCTAATTGGCAGTAGAATGAGAGATCTTTTGAGAATTTTTTTCGAGTTTTCTACAATAATTCGTTTTCTTTTACTATTTCCTACTCAATTTGTAGAGAATTGTTTCTTCCATAGTTTCATGTAGTCTGAAAAATATTATGTTCACGTCTTCTAAATACTGGAAAAGTAGACTTTTGATTTTCTAAAAGCTCTGCCTTTGAGAATCTGGTAATCAATGTTTCTAATTTATGTTCCTTTTTTTTATATGGTCTGCTTTACTCGAATTACTATTGATATTCTGTCTATTATCAAAGATAGCGAAAAAAATGGAAAAAACAATTTTGTTGAGTAATTATTATAGATACCGTATTTTCATTTATTAATTGACCAATTAATAAAAGTGACTCTTACTTTGTAAATGCTAATGAAGCCATATGCCCACCGAGAGAAAAACCATGTAAAATACTTGGTGTTAATTTCATTTTTTGACACCAATGAAGTAACACAAGTGTTTCTAAAATAAGTGCTTTACCCATTATATATAAATCGGTAACGTAAAACAATGATGAACGAGATTGATGGGGTGGTTTTCTTAAACCATAATATGGATTTTCAAGAAGAATTGAACCTATACGATATTGATTAATTAATGGGAGTGCAGTAAATAGTCTTCGTCGATTAAAACCATGATCACCTGTTCCAGCATAACATATACCTATTGGAATTGAATCAATACCAAAACGATGGTCACGTGGTAAAACAAGTTGAAAATGAGCTGTAGCTACTTCAGGTGGAACCTATTCAGGTAAATGTGACAAAAGAAAATAGCTAATATAAATGAAACGATTCAATGATTTTTATTTCTTACTAAATGTGGTAAGCTATCGGCAAGTGGCGAACGAAATCGACCATGTATATAATTTTGGTCACCTTTTATTTCTTGTTTAATAATTTCAACAGTATTTTCTTGTACTTTCTCAGCTGGTACAAGTTTTAAACATTCATCTCTTACACCAATTTTTTCACGTCGATAGGTAAAAATTTCTTGTAAATGAAATGGATTTCCCCAGCCACGTACAAATGATTGAGTTAATATAAAACGTCGAAAGAGATTATCAAAATTCATCATTTCAATCGTACTCGAATCTTTGATATCATCTAGAGAATTATTGATCCGATCTTTTTTTTTAATCAAACAAAAAAAAAGACAATACAATACTTTTAGTAGTCTTAATAGTTTATAAACACACGAATACAAAAAAAAATGTAATATCTTCTTTTTATTTTCCTAAATCAATCTCGCTAGTTTACTACGAAAGAAATAAACGAAAAAAGCAACATTTTTATTACATAGCACCAGAAATGTTAAGTAACATTTGAGGCCCATGTGGTAAATAGACGATATTTCTTGATTTAGATAATTGACTTGCAATATCTTCAGCGGCTTCAATTCGTCGAAGTTCGATCAAGCCTAAATGAATATTAAAATAAAAAGAATAAATTAAGACAAAATAATTAAATATAGTCAAAAACTTACCATCACCAGCTTCACCTAAAGCTTTGCCAATCAAATCAGCTGCACGAGCATCACCTTCTGCAGCAATAACATTTGCTTGACGACTTTGTTCAGCCTTTTTTTTATCAATAAAAACAAAAGAAATCAAAAACATTTCATTATTATTATTTATTTACTTTTTCAACTAAAAATCGTTGTTTCTCAGCATCTTGCTGCGCAACTTGTTTCAATTCAACAGCGCTTGTAAATTCAGTTCCAAAACTTAAATGTGTCTAATTTAAAGAAAACAAATATAATCAACTCGGGATTTTTTTTTTGTATCTTACAATTGAAATATCATCAAGCAATAAACCAAATTGAGAAGCACGTTCCGTTAATAATTCACTAACACGTTGAGAAATAAGTGTACGCTGTGTAATCAATTCAACAGCATCGAATTGAGCCTTATTATAATCAGTTTAATTATTCATAATGACAACAACAACACTATTTATGACTTACTACAACAGATTTTAAAACTTCATTAGTGATCGATGGTAAAACACGTTCTTCATAATCTAAACCCAAATTTGTAAAAATTTTCGGTAAAAATTCGGCTCTTGGTCGATAAAGAATACGTAATGTTATATTAATTGTTTGTAAATCTAAAGTAAAAATATTTAAAATATAATTTGTTCGTTTTCATTTATACACTTAAGCACGCAAAAAAGAGCTATGATGAAAGATATGAGTCTGGGTATAACGTAGAGGTGTAGCCAATAGGTCGAGTCGCCACCGCTCCCGCAACAAAAAAAACAAATATTTGATTTTACTAAATTTTCAATGTCTCAAATCAGCTTTTGGAAATGTTACCATCTGGTTTCTTTTTCAATAAGTCCTCTACCACTGTTTTCTCTATTTTTTTATTTCAACATGTCTCGATGTTAAGAAAACTTTTGAAAATTCATCGAAACATTTCAGCCGTCGACCAACCCATCGGCTTACAACTCGAGATGTGCAGATGGAAATAAAGAGAAGATTAACACCCACATCCATATACATTCATCGGTCTTTCAATAAACATTATATTTATCTTCATTTTTTCGTGAGCTTAAGTTTTTGGTACTAAAGTTTCCTTGTGCTTATCGTTCCAGTTTCTATTCTCTTGATTTTATACCTTTTGTTCCTGTTATTGATGGAACAGATCGTGGTCGGGTACGAATATCAAATATTATTGGTCTATGAAGCCATGGAATCATAAAATGAGTTCCTTCTCCAATAACATCTGGTTTTACACCTTGAAAACGATCAAAAATTACAGCTCGATGACCACCATCAACTAGAATATATTCATATATTAATAATTTAAAAACGAAATATTTTTTTTTCTTTTAATTACTTACCATTATAAAGCATCGAATTAATCACACCACCAGCAATAGCTAAACCAATGCCAATTCTTCCTAAACAACAAATTCTTCTATCTAAATGCAACACTATCAATCTCTTACCTATATTATTAAATAAACGAGATGAAGCCATTTTCTTTATTTTTCCTCTAAAAGAGAACATGTATAATCATAATCGAATTAAATTAGTTTAGTTGCTTTATTTTTATTAGCAAATAGTTTCCAAAACGAGAGAAAAGAAAACAAAAAAAAAAAAAAAACAAAACGAGACCATATGAAAATTCATATCTCTATCGATACAAAAAAATGCATCACTATTTCATCTATCTATCTACTACAGTAACAAACCAATGTAATATATACATAGAAAAAGATTAAATAACAATAAACTTTGAAAGCAAAAAAAACATGCATACTTTAAACAAACCGAAACCCACTCGAACAAATATGAGCACCGTTTTTTTTTTAGACGAGAAAAGAAAAACAAAACGTGTATCAATTTTAGCACCGTTCAGATATTGTTCGTCGATTCGATTGTCGAGGTTGACCATGATTACGTGTTGGAAAATGTTCACCACTGGTTTTTAATGAACTTGATGTATCACTGTTCTTTGCTGCCGCAGCAGCAATTGCTTCAGGTGCTGGAACAGTCTATAAAGAAATTATTCATATTATTAACAAAAAAAAATTATACTTTAATGATTTCAATTACTATAATTCCTGATTTTGTTGGATAAAATTGTTGCGGAAATGATGCACCATCAACACGAAAATCTTCAAGATTTTTATAATGTTTTAAAATTTCTTCAAGTTTTGAATTGATTTTTGGTTTTTGTCGAGAATATTTTAAAAATGCCCAGAATTTTTCTAAACCATATAATTGACCTAAATATCAGAATATAATTTTAATTGAAATTCTTTCTTTTTCTTTTTGTATTCAAATCTATTTTATTACCAGCTTCATGATCACGAAGAGTTTCTTGTTGAAAATCTTCAAATACATGTTGACGAAAATGTTTTTCTAAACCATATGTATAAAATCGAAATAGACATTCAACACCATATCTATATATATTATAAATAATCAAATAAATTTATGTTTTTTCATAAAACAATAATCTTATATACCGATGACCAGTTTTAGCATCTTCAACAGAATATTGTTTAAATTCATTGTACATACGACGATTAAAATTTTCACGTAAGAAAAATGACCAAAAACGATAGAGTGTATTCATTTCCATTGATTGACCAGGACCAACTTTAGCACGTTCTAGAAATTATATCATAATAAATGTATTCTATTGTATAAATCAACATAGCTTTAGGTTATGATACTCTTTTGCTATGAAATGATAAAGTTTGTCGAATAGTGAAACTTAGTGTTTTTGATGATTTTCTACAAACATTTCTTCTTCGTATAAAATAGAAGAAGTTTTGAATAAGCGATGTTTTTTCATGAACTTTTTTTTATGTCTTTTCGAATTAATGACATACAACAAAATATGTCAACAGGTACTGTTCAATTCAATTCTTACATGAGTAAAGTCTCTAATATTTTAAAACTATAGTAACAAGCATTGTTGTTAGATATGTTGACTCTGTTTTAGTCATTAAAATACTCGTTCTTTTACGTCTAATGTTAGACAAATTCAATCTTGTTTACCAGTAACTTGTTCCTCTCGAAATATTCCTAATGACTTAGTAATATGTACTGAACTAATAATCTGTTTGTCTACAATGAATTTATTTTACCATCAAGACATTCTTGTTTATATTTAAGATAAACTTGTTGAGTAAAACCATTTTGTTGTAAAAGTGTATGAGATGGATGTTGAAATTGAGGAATTTCCACCGGTGTTGAACCATAAAAATCATATGGATTTGAATTATTTCCATGCCAATAATGCGAATCATTGTATGATGATGAATATTGATCATAGAAATCTTGTTGTCGCCTGCAAAATAATTAAAGAAAACTCATTCTATACTAATAATAATTGATATTCAATATTTTTGTATTAAGAATAAATAATATAAGAAAAATTGTCAAAAAAAATAAAGCAACACAAGTTATTTGTCTATATTTATTTATCTTACCCATATTGACCGTTAAAAAAATGACCTTATCTGTAATAAGTAAAGTGAAACCAAAAATCTTAGAAACACACTATTTTTGACTTCTTTCCTTAATGATAACAAGTAGAAAAAATCAAAGAAAATAATTTATTAATTGGAACAATGTCCTATCAGGAAAAGTACTTGTCGAATTCCCATAAACAGATTTGAGATAGACGTCTCTGGAAAATCAAGACTTCAGAACTTTTCACAACCTATCTTTAGCGAACTGTACTCATTCCACGAAAGACACTAAAGTGTTTTCCTTCTTTTAGAGCATTTTCCAATATATGAGAGACTCTATCAAGAATTTCCTGCTCTACCAAACTTCTGTCATTATTATAAAAATAAATTTTCTTTTATCGGCACGAAATGTAACTTATATTGTTCAGAAGAAACAGGCTTTGAATCACCAACTAGCTATATTTTGAAACGAACTCTGAAAAATCATGTTCTCCAATGCTAGACTTAGTCTATGACACGTGTGTTTTCATACTCTTGGACGTAGAATTTAATTCTAAACAAAATGGTATGAAGAGTGTGTAGAAATTTCAGCAAAACCTTTATGAAAATGTTTTTATTTTTCGATCAGCTCAGCTAGTTGATTGAGTAGGTATTTATCTTTTAAATTTTGCGTTAACAAAAAAAACTTATTTGAAATACAAAAATAGTAGTTTTTTCCAGCAGGAAATTCTCTATCGAGTCTCTAATATATTTGAAAGTGCTCTAGAAAAAGAGAAAAACGTTTTGTCTCATATATTATGCGTGTCATTCATTATATGAATTTACTATGTTTTACAATTTGGAGTTTTTCATAGAATGAGTATAGTTCACTGAAGATAGATCATGGAGAGTTGGGAAGCATCTAATTTTGTTCAGAAATATTTTCTCTATTAGATGAACTTTTTTGATAGAATCCACAAAACTGTTTTTTGGAAGTCTTGTTTTTCCAGAGATCTTTGTTACAAAGCGAACGAGTGAGTCAGAATAAGTTAGACTGTTTGTATTTTGTATATTCGTTTTCTATTCTCCATTAGACCGATACATTTTTTATATCAGAAAATGGCATAAAAACAATTAAATTATGAAAAAAATGATCAACAAGACTCGCTGTATCAATTTATCGTTCACTAGTAGCTGCACACGCACAGTTCGGATAAAAGTTAATGTATCGAAGATGAAATAGCGTCTTACTCAAAAGAACCGACTATTCACAATGAAATTAGATGCTGAAATGAATATTTCAAGAAGCAGTATACGGCAAATCTTACGTGAAGATATCGACTAGTTTTCATATAAGACAATCAAACAACCAAAATTGACTGATCTTCAAAAAAAGAGGAGGACCAAGTTTACCAATTAGGCGTTGAATAACTACATTAAAAAGATGACAAAAAAATGGTTTCTTTTGACGAAAAAGTTTTTGATTTAGATAGTGTGTACAATGGTCAGAATGATCGAGTATGGACTGTCAACAGAGAAGAGGCTTATAAGAAGGGTAGTGTTCATGAGAAAACGAAATTCTTGGTCACGCTGATGATGTGGTTAGCTGTAAGTGAGGAAGAATTGACAGTGCCGGGGATTTTGAAAGATGGGACAGCGGATGCAGAAAAGTACATCAAGCACATTCTTCCAACATCTCTAAAATGCAACAAGAAAATGCTAGGAGGCAACTGGACATATCAACAGGATAATGCAAGACCTCACACACACACACACACATCACCTGACTCAAAAATGATGTGCTGATCACATTCTTGCATTCATTTTGAAGTACCGGTGGCCATCAACTTCATCTAATTTATATCCATTACATCACAGTTTATGAAATGAGCTAGGTGAAGCTATGAATTGGGACCAGCAAACAACAATAGCAACATTGATAGAAGAAAAAAAATTTTCTGTGAAAAAAATTGAAAAAGAAAAAAATTAAAATTCTGTATTTGACTTTACTGTACGATTATATTCAATCAAGAAAAATGAAGAAGACTATATTCGTTAAATGAAAGACACCATTTTGTGCAAAATTTCAAGCTCTATCTTTTGATTAAGAAAAAAAAAAAGTTTGAATCGAGTGTAAAAATAAAGAAGAAATATTTAAACTATAAACCGTGTAATTTATTCTGGCTCGCGCGTTATTTATAGGAATTCGACAAGTACTTCTTCTAATAGGAATATTGTTTAAAAATCTTTTCTTTGATTTATTCTCGCTGATATCATTAAGGAAAAGGGTAGAAAAAAAAATACTGTATTTCTACACTTTTTGTCTTCGTATTGAATGTTTCTCAATAAATTCACTTGAAATCAATACAAATAATTAAAAAAAACATCTTACGTAGCACTATTCATTGTATTGCTTCGTTGTTTTGTAGTTGGATGACCGCGTGAATCAAAAACCCAACCAACTGAACTTTCTATTGGTGGATTTTCACTATGACGTGTTTTACGTTTAAGACCAGGTGTCTAAAAATAACATATTTAAATTTAATATCTACATAAAGAAAAAATTTTTAATTCAAAATTTTACATCTGGTTTAACAACAGGTGTATCTTTGGTGACTGGATAAAATCGAGCAGCATATTTTGCACGTGAATGTGGTGTTCGCGGTTCTTCTGCGTGTGTATCAGATGTTTGTTTTGTATTGTTTGTATCGATATTTGAAGGATCTGAAGTAGCAGAATTATTCTCGTTTGATTTTCGAAGATTATTTGGTAATGATTGAGATATTAAATCATTTGTTGGTGAACATGAAAGATGTTGTTGATTGTTATTAGGTAAATGTTTAGGATGATAGAATGGTTCAACTTGTGGTGGCGGAAAATTATTGAAACGGATAATATTAATAGCTGGACTACGACATTCTTTTTCATCAGTGACATTTAATTGATGATTTTCTAATAAAAATAATTATTTCTTTTATAGACAAGAAAAGGCTATATGAATGATAAAATATCAGACACCTTGTCTATGTAATATGTAAATTAAAAATTAATCATTTTTCTTAGTAGCTGATT